TTTGAGTTATGTCTTTATGTTTATTTCGTTTTATTTTAGCAAATAAAAGTTGGTTTTAAGAGCGTTCCCACTTCCCGTCCTCAGCATACCTTCGATTCAGTTTGCTCTGGCAAAGTGGGGTGACAGCCAGTGGGACTGGTGGGCAGGAGGGAGCTGCTGTGGTCCCTCCCCATCGTCACTGGGTGGTCCTACCCTGGCACCCAGGCATTATTTTAGGGGACGCTGGAACATTTTCCCGAAGCTTTCTGGTAGCTTCTCATTTTCTAAAGGCCTTTTAGTCTCACCAAAGGTACAGACCACACTGTCGTTTGGGGGGATGGGCTGGGGGGGAAGGGGCTTCTGGTGCTGGGGATGAAACTCGGGGGCCTTGAACTTGCTAAGCACACGCTCTGCCCCAGGCCCTGTTGTGTGTGTTATTTCTTCTGTCTACAGTGTCCAGCATCGTTCTCTGTGTGCCACGCTTTCACACGGCGTGATGGTGAAGGTGAGCCTCGGCAGTGGTGACTACTCTATCAACTGACCCCACTCTTCTGCCCCAGGGTAACAGCTGAGCCTTTCAATCAGACTTGTGGCTGCCACCCCAGCGACTTCCAGAAACGCCCCTGGGGCAGAATGAAGAGTACAGTGTTACTAGATCACACCCATCTCCCCTGTGACACCCTGTATTCTGTCTACACAGTATGCTTAGGGGCCCAGCGTCAAGCCCTCGTCAGCAATCCTGGACTACCTGCCCTGGGTCTGTAGAACACGACACAGGTGGACCCTCACCAGTGAGCTGAAGCCAGAGGGGTCAGGGGTTTCCTCCTCTGAAGAAAACAATGTCGATTCCTCGAACATTGGTATAAAAATTGCAGAGGCCAAGCGAATCCTTATATAACACGCATCTCTATCTGTTTGTACAAGATAGTCCTTCAAAAGTCTGGGAATCGACAACAGCCTGGACCAAGTCCCTAAGGGTCGTCAGGATGTCCTGGGTCACGTCTTGCTGGGCGACAGGCCTACATGTCATAGAGTCGAAGCTGCTCCTGCATGTCACCATCAGACATCTCACCAAACGTCTCCTTGTTGTCCTTCATGAGCTTGAAGATGGCGGCCAGCTGTTCTTTCTGAACTCTGTTGAGAAGAGAGGATGAGAGGAAAAGGATGCTCCCGACCGGGGGTGGGGGTGGGGGTGGGGGCAGCACCTGTGCCATCCATCGGCCAGGTGGAGACTCTCTGCTTTTCTAACTACATTTGCTTTCCAGTGTAAGGACCCACTTAAAATGCAGGAGGTTGCACTAACACTCAGCCCTGAAATCCTGGGTCTCAGGTGCACTGTGGCTCAGTTTTCTCATGGGCCTGTAGTGATTTGCATCTCACAGTGAGGCAAGGAGGAAGAGAACCCTGTTTTATTAAGTGGCTTTGTGTGCTGAGAATAGGGGGTCAGGAGCAGCCTCAGTTTAGACAGTGAACCGAAGCAAGGGAGATGGGGCATATAGATGTGTAGACAAAAGTGCTGGGCAGTGGGGAGGGGAGGTGGAAATCTAGTCCCTGGAGTTCTGCTGCCAAGAGAAAGAGGCACCTTTTCCTTATGTACACAAAGTGGGTGTGGATGCAGATGGACCTCGGTGTTGACCACATGGTTCTGTGGCTGCCTCGTGGTTTACGAGACGCCGCCACACCATCTGACCAGCACAGAATGACTCCCATGACAAACAGGAAGGGTGGGCCGAACAGCAGAAACTAGGAACCGTGTGTGGTCCTGTTTGCTCCACTGCACCGCCCTGTGACAGCGTGACAGCTGTCCCCTGCATCCTGCCTCCACCTGGCTATCCTGAGTTCTTGATTCTGTGTTTCCTGTACCACTTCCTCCATGGCACACTACTGCTTCGGCCCGGAGAGAACATGAGCCACACCTGCAGGCTCAGCTCTCGCCTTCCCCAGGGCCATGTCTGCTGTGGCCATATTGTAGGTCTGAGCAGGCTTCAGCAAAGTTGTCAGCCACTGCACCGACCGCCTGGAGAGGTGGCCCCGATGTGTTAGGTCTTAGGCTTTTTCTTTTTCTTTCCTTTTGTCTTTGATACAGTCCTCACTTTGTAGTTCTGGCTGGCCTGGAACTCACTCTGTAGCCCAGGCTGGCCTTGAACTCAGAGATCCTCCTGCCTCAGCCTCCTGAGTGCTGGGATTAAAGATGTGCACCAGCATGTCAGGCCAGGACTTGTACTTTGTTGTTGTTGTTGAGAGACAGGGTTTCTCTGTGTAGCTTTGTGCCTTTCCTGGATCTCACTCTGTAGACCAGGCTGGCCTTGAACTCACAGAGATCCGCCTGGCTCTGCCTCCTGAGTGCTGGGATTAAAGGCGTGTGCTACCACTGCCCGGCGGACTTGTGCTTTTAATGACATTCCTTCTTCTGTAAGTTCTATGCCCCCCCCAAACCCCATATCCTCCACTCAACGAATTTGGTTTCTGTCTACCGTAGCATCTAGATGTTGGAGTACTGCTGTCCCAATTCCTACCCTCCTTGGTCTAGACAAACTAGGTCTATACTCAGTTCTGTGTAAGAGGAAGAGGGACATGCAGGGTGTATTTTGTACCCCACTGTGAAAAAAAGAGGTATGGTAAACAGAGGGGGGTTACTGAAAGCATGGATTAAATCACTGTCAGATACATTTAGCACTGTCTCTTAATGAACTGTCCATAATGTTTTGGTGGCCATGATGATTGTATATTTATTATAATCATTATTACTATTATTTTTAGGATTCTGGAGGGAGGGGCATGTTGAGATGGTCTCTCTATATAGACTTTGCTAGCCTAGAATTCACTATGTAAACTCTGCCTCTGGGTACTGGGATCACAGCTGTCCACCACCACCACCACCACCACCACCACCACCACCACCACCACCACCACCCCGTACCCACAGTGCTGTGGTATATACTTATTTATTTTTATGTGTTTGGGAGTTTCATCTACATATATGTATGTGTACCATATGTTTGCCTGATGCCCTTAGAGGTCAGAAGAGAGAACTGGATCCCCTGGAACTAGATTTATGGATGGTTGTGAACCACCATCTGGGTGCTGGGAACAGAACCCATATCTTCTGCAAGAGCAAGTGTTCTTAGGCAAACACCCCTCTCTCCAGCCCTGGGCTGTGAATTTGTAACTGGGTATGCATATGGCTTTGTGTTCTGCTGGAGCATCAAGATGAGAGGAAGTTTAAAGTTTGTTTCTAAAGAGGCTTTTTGTTTTTAAATAAAGCAAACTGAAGAAACACACAGTAACCAAGGTCCTCTACTTAACTCTTTATTGGCCAGAACACAGGCTGTACACATCGAGCCAAGCCGCCAGGAGTGGAAGGGGCTTATTGCTCACAAGCCACGCTCAGGTTTCCACATAAGCCTAACTAAGGATATCCAGAAGTCACTCCTCTGTGTGGAGGAAGCCCCAGCCTAGACAGGGACTTCACTATTGCTATTTAGGAAGAAGTGAGTGTGACTCTGTTGGTCACGTGGCTGTGTCAAAGGCATTGAGTTGTGTTTGCCGCTCTGTTGCCAGCTCGGCCCTAAGCCCTGAACCCGAGGCACCGGGCACGGGAGAAGGCCGCCAGGGACGCGCGGCTTAGGAGTCGATGCTGGACATTTTTCTAGTTTTCTATTAAATGGAAAATCTTCTAAAAACTTAGTGCTTTAGGGAAAAAAAATGTCTTCACCAACAAGTCTAAGACTTCAGAGTCGTCTGGTATAAATACTGTCAAATATAAAATTCTGAAAAAACTAACCTGGGACTGCTGGGTGATTATGAGGTTCAAAGTCATCTAGGAAAAACCTAGAAAATCCACAGTCCAGAAGTCTGCTGGAAGCTAACACTGCCAGAGTGGAGACTAAGTTGAGCTGGTGAGAACACTAGCGGAGAGGCCTCTCAGTACAAAGAGGGGTGGCCCGAGACTCCTGGGGTGGGGGCGGGGTGGGGGCAAAAAGGAGGCCGTGTTAAAGCCAGTACCTGGCATGAATCATTCCTGCCAGAGAGGAGGAGGAAAGCACCCCCACCCCCACCCCCACCTCGTGTGTGTGTGTGTGTGTGTGTGTGTGTGTGTGTGTGACCACCTCTGACAGCAAGTGAGCCCTGGTGGGCTTTACTTCGTTCGTCTCAAATCTGGTGGTTTGGCTTCTGTGAGAACAAAAGCCCAGGGCAGGACGGGGTGTGGGGGCCTAAGTGGGGTGGATGGGGAGCAAGCATGGCCGGTAAGAAAAGCCCAGGGCCTGAGCCCATCCATATTCTTGGCAAGTCTCCCCCTTCTCCCAGTAAACACCTCTGAGCAGGACAGAGACAAAACCAGTCCTGAAGATCTTGCTAGTCCAGGGGAGCCCAGCGGGAGTTGGGGTGGGCCAACATGTCAGCAGATTTGCAGGCAAACTCCCCGCCCCAAGCCTGCATGGGCTCCTCCCCCCTTTTTTTTTTTTTAAATCAAGCTTTTAAGATGTCAAAAGGAAAGAAAGCCTTCAGGAGGCGGCTAAGAAGGACACCTTCTTTATTCTTCAGTTCTGTAAAGAGAAACAGGGAGAAAAAGGTCATGTATCTCGCTCGGGTTACTTTAGAAGCAGCCCAGGACAGAGTGGGCACAGAAGGCAGATGGTTGGAATCACAGAGGCCACGCTAGACCCTGCTGCTTCTCAGACCAGCGGTTTGCTCCGCACACTCAGCAGTGACACAGGCTCCGTGGGTCTGTCTGTCCCCCTGCCCCACCCCCAGCCAGGTGGCGACCGCCACCTGCCACTTCCAGCTTCTGAGAAACAGAGTGGCCGGGCAGTGAGCTCGCTGATCCTTGGCTGTGCGGTTGGTTACACTAATGACATTCCTATTGCCCCGGGTAATTTTTGCTTCCTGCTGCCTGGTCTTTGTCTCCTGTGAGGAGACTCTGTACCTTCCCTGGCAGGTTTCCAGAAGGGCCAAAAAAAAAAGGGTCTTGATAGTTCTCTGAAGGTGAGTGAGCTTATTTTTTTGCCTTTGGCGCCCTCTCCTGGAAGCTGGAGTCAATGCATACTTCCAGCCATTAGATTTCACTCAGGAAGAAACTATAGGAGCCAGAACTATAGGAAGGTCCGGGGTTCCCACCTCCCTTACGCCCTAATACGCCCTATATATCCCTCCTCTCGGGCCCTGTCTATTTCCATGAGTCAAAAGTTGACAGTCCTTCAGACTGCCAGCCACAGCAGTGTGGAGCCCAGCCTGACCTGTCCACACAGCCTAGTGTACAAGCTGGGTTCCACTTTCCCTCTGGAACCAGCCGATGGGCTACCCTGCCAAGCGGCAAAGCCTGTCACGCTTGGCCGTCTCACTAGCTTGTGGGGTGAAAAGGCCTCTTGCTCAGGGGGAGCTGTCAAAAGCCTGCTAGCCAATGACCCCACTCACACAGAGGGAGGCGGCACCCCCAAGAGAGGCTCAGGAGGTTGGCAGGGATGTGGGGAGCAGGGGAGGGGAGTGCGTGTCTGCTCAGAGGGCACTCAGGAAGGGTCGCGTGCACAGCAGCCAGGATTAGAGCAGTTGCTGCCCAGCCACCTCCCAGGAGCCGGACAGCTCTGTCTGGAGCCGACCCAAGGGCAGGCATTCCCAATGGAGATCGGAGGAGAACCCACTGGGACCTCTCGATTCACTCCCCAAGGACCTTGAGCGAGCCTGGGGAGAGCAGAGCGCTGCAGAGCTGGGTTCTAGGTGCAGCTACGGTGGCCCAGCTGGTCATTCAAGATGAGAAGCAGTGCAACATTTACCTGCTAACCAGGTGCTCCCTGTGTGCCAGCCGCGGATTGGGCAAAGGCCATCTGGGAGGGATGGAGCTGACAGACGCTTTGCCAGCTTGAGGATGGTTTCATTAGTTTGATGGTAACATTATGGGTTTTATTATTATTATTATTACATTCTTATTTGTTTTGTGTGGATCTGTGAGTGTGTACATTGTGGATGTGCACATGTGGAGGTCAGGGGACAAGGAGTTGGTTCTCGCTTTTCATCACGTTAGTCTCAGGGATCAAACTCAGGCCGTTAGGCTTGGCGGCAGGCATCTCCCCGTCCTACATTTGTGGTATTTTTCAGGGGACAGTTCTAGGGCAGTTCCCCAAGTTCAGTTGGGTCCCGATCTGTGTTGTAACTGTCACCTCTCCAAAACCCAGAGACATAAAGTCGAAGCCAAACTCAACAGCCTCTGCAACCCCAAGCATCACATGAGGCGCAGTGGTGTGGTCAGGGGCACCCCCAGCAGCTTCAGCTGCGGCCACATGCAAGGGCGGGAGGGGGAGCAGGCAGATGTCAGATGGGGTGGGTGGGCGTGTGAGAGCCGCAGGAAGCATGCGGGGTAGGGTCATGGAATGAACATAAACTCAGGCCCTGCTGGGACCTCCCTGTGCAGAGGAGGAGTCAGGGACTCCTCCTCACCCCAAGAGCAGCTCCTGGGCACAATCTCTAGCCCACAGAAGAGCAAACATCTGTGGGTGGTCTGGGGTCCCCTGGAGACTCCAGGGCCCTCAGGCAGTGGGGGATCTGCTGTCTTTCAAAGTGACACACAAGTGACTTTGCCTTTTCAGTTCCTGGCCTCAGCTCTGAACACAGGGGCGGTGGCAGACCCCAGACTGAGGCCTGGCTGCCACCCACTAACTGTGAACACAGGGGTGGTGGCAGATCTCAAACTTGAGCCCTAACTGCTCTCCTGCCCTGACCGCCCCTCAAGGCCCACAGTGCATGGACCTGAGCGGATAGAATGCGGCTATGGTGCAGCCAAAGCCCCACCCCCAGGAATGCTTGGGATGGCTGGGGTGGCGGGGTGTGTGTGTGTGTGTGTGTGTGTGTGTGTGTGTGTGTGTGTGTGTGGTGGTGGTGGTGGTCAGGCCCTCGCCCGCCTCTCCAGCCAGGGCTGAACCCTCAAAGCATCTGTGGCAATACCTCAGCTCCGCCACAGGAGTTCCAAAATAGCCTCGGAAAATGAGTGACTGTGACCATGTCTGTCCTCTGTATTGACATCAGCAGGGAGTGAGCCACAGCGGCCAAGGCCTCGGTCTGCAGGCCCAGCTCTGTCTGCAGGCCCAGCTCTGAAGAGCAACAGTCCTGCCTGCCCTGCAGCATGGGAGGATTACAAGGCCCTCTCAGGGTTCTGTCATTCACTGTGCAACCAGCTGTCTCTCCTCTGGGTCAGACAAAGCCACAATGGCCGCCTCACAAGATGTATGCATATTCCCATAGCACCCCAGGTCTCAGAGATGATGGTCCCCCCTTAAGTATACTAGCACCCAAAACAGCTGGACCCCTTAGGTCTACCAGGGACTTGAATTGGCCCCTGGGAAAGGTTCTTTTTGTGTCTGGGATTCCTCGTGCATGGGAAGAACAAGACAGGTTCAGATGGGACGAAATGCATTAATTGGTTATGAAGAAGGTGGAGGAAGAGGATTTAGACCACGTCAGTGGCATTGGGGACACATTAGCAGACAACGTGAGGAAGCCCCGCTAGTCTACAAAACCAACCTCCTTACCACAAGGGTTTGCAAGAACATTTGTGGCCCAGGACTAAAGGACTCGCTACAGGGAGGTGAGGTCAGAGGTCAGCTCAATCCTGAAATATAAAGGTGGCAAATGGGGTCACAACACGAGGCAGCAGCATCCAAGGACTCGGGGACTCACATGGAAAGCGCTTTCTCCTGCCTGCACCCACACCCACCGACATCCCTCTGCACCCAGGGTGAGGAGGCTTCCTGTGAAGCTGCATCTTGGTGGGGAGGGGGGTTGTGGTCCTGGAGGGAAGCTGGTGGTCCTGGAGCAGCCTAGAGAGGGTGGCTAAGCTGCGCATCCTGCTCCAGCCTTCTACTCCTTGCTTCCGCTCATGAATCAGGGCTCATCCCCCTCCCCACCCCACCCCCAGCTCCTCTGGGTGCCAGGTCTGGAAAATGGTGCTGTTCTCAGTGAGACTTCACTAGAATGCAAGGGCTCCGCTTCTACATGGCTGGGGGTGGGGGTGGGGGTGGGGGTGGGGCAGACAGCAGGGGCTCGTGGAGGGGCGCAGCTGGGCTGCTGAGAACCCTGCTCCTCCTGTGGCCGCCCTGGCCATCCCACTGCTTCAGAGCCTCCCTCAGCCACCCATGCAGTCCAGATAAGATGTGGAGGGGAACCTGATGGACACACACACCGGGGTGGGGGTGGGGGGGTCCTGGTGGGGGAGGGGAGAGTGGCCTGATTCAGGAAACCAGAAGCCCTACAGCTGCCTTGAGCTGTGCAGAGCGGAACAGATAGAGAGCGACGTGGCGGGTGGGGGCCTGGAGGAGGGAGGCTGCCAGATGGATGAGCACCAAGAATCTCTCTCTGTCCTCAAGTGACAAATTGGTTTTGTCAGGGACTCTACGCCTAAGTGAACAGTGAGGCTGCTCTGGCCCTTTCCTGGCATCTCATTCTTATGTCTTTTTTTTCTCCAGGTTGGGGAGGCTTCAGGCAGAGAGAATCAAGAAATAGGCTCCACTTTATTCTCACGCCCTCCCCTGTGCGCCTGCCCCGGGGGACCATCTTCCCTTGATTGAGGCTGGCTGAACATTACCAGGACAAGGAAGGATGCACATCCCCACCCCTACCCAAGAGGGAAGAGGACATGGGGGGCTGGCTCACCCCTGCTTGGCCCTGATACCAGTGTTCCAGAAGCCGCCTACCTCTGTTCCTCCTCCAATTCTTCTTTGGTCATCATCCGCTTGTACTGGCTTCCCCTCAGCTGCCCAGGGCTGTACTTAAAGGAGAAGGCCGCTCCTGTGGGGACAGTAGGTAAGATTATCACCAACTTGGGAGGCTAGGCTGTCCCCATCGATGCTCAGCAGCACCCCCTTTCCATGGTTAGTTGTGTGTGTGTGTGTGTGTGTGTGTGTGTAACTGGGGATTTAGGCCCTGAGTTTAGGGCCTTGCACATGCCAGGCTAGGCAAACATTCTTCCCTGAACTACACCCTCAGCTCACCCTCTGATTGTTTTCAAAGAAACAGCCTAGCAACAGAGCTCAATGGGTAGACGGAAAAACAAAACAAAAACAACAACAAAAACCAGGATGGTGGTGGCTCACGCTCTTAATCCCAGTACTCAGGAGCAGGAGCCAGAGACAGGCAGATCTCTGAGTCGAGGTCAGCCTGGTCTTCAGGACAGCCGGGGCTACACAGAGAAAACTTGTCACAGAGGCCAACAAGCCACCTGCACAGTCTTGTACCAGCCTGAATGCAGCCCCAGCTTCAGAGGGGCCACACACTCAGTGACATCATCTTCTCACCCCAGCACCTGACCCCAGGCTCATCCTGTCCTTCCTATGGACTCCTCTGGTTTCCTGCGCCTTGGTCTTTAATGGGGGTCACATGGAAGTGAGACCCAGACAGAAACTATGCCCAGGGCTGCTCTATCTTCCAAATGTCATCCCCTCCCCAGGCCAGTTTAAGCCAGCCCAGAGCTGTCTGCCTGTCTCTGAGCCAAGAATTCAGTTGTTTGCCTGCAAGGATCACCCCCAACCCCCGACCCAACTCCTGCCATAGTGGCCTCCCTCAACCCGTTTATGCTGATCACACCTACAGCAAACGCCACTCACATCTCGGGGAGCACATGGGTCCCCACACTGGGCCCCAGGGACTCAGACCTTCCTTCTCTTCTAGGCTTGAGACAGCCAGGCCCAGTTGCTCTGTCTCCCCTACCCCCACCCCCGCCAGGTTCTCAGCAATTGAAGGCATACATCAGGCCCAAGATGGGATGTACAAACGAACAGGCTTGGCGGACTGCCAGGGCCTGAGAGCGGCCTCCAGTGCCGGCAGGCTGTTAGAAAGGGTAAATCTGCAGCTCTGACGGGGTGGGGGTGGGGTGGGGTCTGTCAGCAGACGAGGCCCAAGGCGTGTGACACAGCGTCAACACAGATGCTGGGGTACCCCAGCAGAGGGAGGCAGGAGATGTAGGGCAGCAGGGGAAGAGGAGTGTCCTAATGAGAAAATCTGCTTGGAGGCAATGCCTCAGTGTCTGGGGAGACGGAGAACGTCGGGCTGGCTGCCTTCTCTCTAATGCCTGTGAAGACAGAAAGGCTGGCGATGGCGACAGCCAGGGACACTGTTGACTCCTCTTCCAGCTGCTATTCTAGAACTTCTCCTGCCTGAAGAGTCTGAGACACCTCCACATCCTTTCACAGCAGGTCAGGCTCCCGACACACGTCATCAGATAGATGGACACTGACCCGGAAGAAAAGGGCGCTGGGATTAGCATTCTCTCCTGGCACAGAGGAAGAAGGTTCTGGAGATGATCTCAGAACCCAAACACTCTGCAGGGGCCATGCTGTCCCCTCATCAATCCTCATGGAGGAGGATTGGGGTCCTCACTAGGAGCTGCCCGAGGCCTTCCTCAGGAAGCTATCTCGGCCTTTTACAAAGACGATTCGCTCCTCGAATCATCTCACAAGCATTTAGAGAGCACAATTCCAGGTGCTGGTGATGCTGCAGTGACCAGAAGACAAACGTACACAGAAAGCCTCAAATCAGCAGCTGGTCCTAGAAGAGGGCGGCTGAGATGGGAGGGCGGCTGAATGGGAGGGGCTGCTGAGATGGGAGGAGCTGCTGGATGGGAGGGGCTGCTGAGATGGGAGTGGCCGCTGAATGGGAGGGGCCGCTGAGATGGGAGTGGCCGCTGAATGGGAGGGGCCGCTGAGATGGGAGGGGCCGCTGAGATGAGAGGGGCCGCTGAATGGGAGGGGCTGCTGAGATGGGAGGGGCTGCTGAGATGGGAGGGGCTGCTGAGATGGGAGGGGCCGCAGGAGTGTTGATGGAGCCAGGCGCGCACATCTTTAGTCCCAGCACCTGGGAGGCAGATCTCTGTGAGTTCCAGGCCAGCTTGGTCCACATCAAGCTTCAGGCCAACTAATACAGAGCGTAGAGGACAGGACTGTGGGTGAGTGGACAGAGGCATATGAGTCAACTGCGGTTGGCTTGGCTGCCAGGGCTCTTGCTGGGGTGAGATGGTGGCCCTGGGGGTCTGAGGCAGAGCTGGGCTGTCCTTCCCTTCTCAGAAAACTTCTCTGAAACCGGCCCCCTCCCCCGCAGCCCTCCAAACCCCCCACCTCCCGGCCAGGCTAAGCTCTGCCCAGCTAAGCTAATAAAGTAGGAAACTCCACTCCATCTGGGTCATCGGAACCAGGAGCTTTCAAGTCCAGGGTGTGGACAGATCAGGGAGCTTCCCTGAGCAACTCCGTCTCCTGCAAGGAGCTGCAGCGTTCCTACTGAGGAGCGAAGGGGCAGGGTCTTTGTTTATCTCAAAGCCGGGAATATCCTGCAGGCCACGGATGGACGGCCTACCACGGCTGTAGCCTGAGCTTGCGAACAACCCTCAGGATGGACCCAGGAAAACCGGTGAACCTCAACACCTGGGGGCTGCTGTTTTAGAAAAATAAACATAAAAAGTCCTGCCAGCTTAGTGCAGGTCTGGGTTCTGGTTTATGGGGCAAGTCTTATTAGCTTGATGCTTTTCCAGGCCGCCAGGACAGCCCACTGACGCAGGCTTTAACTTAATCACAGGCGGTGGGCAGAATCCAATTTTGTTAGAGTGAGGAGGCTGGGTGTGAGAGCCCCTGGGGAGTGCGTATAGGGTGGGGGCTTCCTCTCCCAGGCGTCGTGAATCTGAGTCGCTAGGGGAAGTCAATTTAGCGACACTAATCAATTAGCCTGGGAGGCTGAGCTGCTTCTTGCAGAGGGGATGGCGGGGGCGGGGGGGGGGGCAGGGAGGGGGAAGGAATCCTTGCTTCCTTGGGACCGCTGAGAACATTGGCCTTTCTCCCCCTGCCTGGGACAGTGGCCCAGACAAAGGGAGAAAGAACTCAGGGGTAAGCATGGGGCCGGGTACAGGGCTTATGGATGTCAGCTGAGTTAGGAACGGTACGCTGTAGGTCTCGCACTTTGTTTGAACCCAGGGGTCTCCAGATTCATGTCAACTTCCCTTCTGCATGCTCAAGTCACTCACGGGACCTTGGTGCCCATGCCAACAGGGATAGACTCTTGGGCCACAGCTGCTGTTAGCTCCTAACTCGATCTAGGAGCAGAGAGCATGGGCCTGGCTGGCCGGGGGTTGACACCCCCACCTACCACTGCCTATGCCTGGGTCCCCTCAGAGGCTGTACCAATAGACACCACAGCTCTGCTCACTCTCTGGAGGGCCTGGGGACTTCACAGAGCTTCATTGCTGCGGACATCCACGGGAGCCTCAGTTTCCCCATTCCTAAACCTCCTGCTTCCCATCGTTCCTGCCAGCAGCTGGCTTAAAGCTGCAGCTGGTCTTGCTTCTTTCTAAAAAATGAAATATCCGCCAGGCAGTGGTGGCGCACACCATTAATCCCAACACTCGGGAGGCAGAGCCAGGTGTATATCTGTGAGTTCGAGGCCAGCCTGGACTACAGAGAGAGTTCTAGGACAGGCTCCAAAGCTACACAGAGAAACCTTGTCTCAAAAAACAAACAAACAAACAAACACACCCCCCCAAAAAAACCCCCAAAACTCTGTATACTCGCTGTACTGATCCAATAAATATTAACATTTTGTTTTGTCTTTGGTTTTCTCCAGTTTCTTTTTGAAGGAAATAAAATGTGACAGATGAGACAGTCTGTCTGTCTGTCTAAGACACACAGGAGCATCTTGGTTTCATATTCCTGTGGTTCCCTCTCTCCCATCTGAGCCACCCAGAGCTCAGAAGAAGCAGCCCCATCTCCTGGGAGACCTCCCAGCCAGGGAGCTGTCACCCCTAAGGGGAGGCCTCCTGCACCCAACAATACTTGATTTACAGACGAAAAAGCAAGGACCAAAAGTGCAAAGGAGGTATTCAGGGCTGGGCGGGGCCTTGACCTGATCATCCCATAGCTCCTCTCACTCCATCCATCCTCAAGGCCCCGTGGCCCCCCAATTCTCAGATCCCACTGCCCCCCGAGTGGCCCAGGGAGAGCCAGACTGCAGCCTCATGGGAGTGGGTGCCGCTCACCATCCTCTTCCTCAGGCTCTTCAGTGGGCGGTCCTGTCTCACTGTCTGAGTCTTGCTCTTCATCCTGCAAGACAATGGCAGGGGTCAGTGCCGCTTAGCAGATGAACCCTGTCCTCTCTCAGGAAAGGGTGAGATGTGGGCAGATGGATGGGGCTCTAGAGTGACCACCCCCTAAGCTGGGGAAGTGGTGGGGGGGTGGGGGAGTGGGGAAGACATTTCTGAGGTCCAGTGTGAGCATGTCCGGCAGCCATGGTGGGACCTGTGGTGTCAGGGCAAACTCAAGGGGGAGGAGGAGGTGATAGAGGACCCTGGGTACCACGGGCCCTCAACTTAGGCCATCCCCAGGTAGGGCCTGTGCAGGCATTTTGGCAAGTGGCCTGGAAGTCCCACCCTCACCTTAGTGAGTAAGGGAGACACGGAGAAAGCTGGCTGTATTACCTAGGGCCAAGGCCAGCTGCACAGCCCAGCTTTTCCAAGATAATGGCCTTCCTGGCTTCTTCCGACCAACGATATTTTCTGTCTCCAGTCAGCTCGGTGACCATTTACCCAAAACTGGAACTCCACCCCCTTAGCCTGGTCTCTCCCACACATGGATTCAATAAACAGATGGCTGGGAGAGGCACCCCATCCCGTCCTGGGATGGCCTTGGTGGAAGGAAGGAGTGACTTCAGCTTCAGGAATGTTTGAGGATGAGAGAGGCATGTGATTGGCCGACCGTGTGGGACCGGAGGGTGTGAGGAGGGGATGAGAGAGGCATGTGATTGGCCGACCGTGTGGGACCGGAGGGTGTGAGGAGGGGATGAGAGAGGCATGTGATTGGCCGACCATGTGGGACGGGAGGGTGTGAGGAGGGGATGAGAGGCCCAAGGAACTGTGGCTTGGAAGCCTAGCAGGCCAGTGTGGAAACTTGAGGTTTGAGGGGTAGGCCAGGGGTAGAAGTGAGCAGCCTGCACTGGAGACAAATACTGACATAGGTCTGGGGTACCCCAGACACCCCGAGAAGCAGCCAGCCTCAGTAGGAGGAGGCTTCTCAAATGAACAGTTGGCTGAGCCTGGAAATAAAGCTTTCATATGGTGATGGGTCACAAGAGGCAGACTTGGGCTCGAGCTCCTCAGGATACAGGGCCAGTGCTCTCACTTAGCAGATCTTGCAGACTCAGTGGCAGGTAGGTAGGAGCCATACTGCCCCAACATCGGCTAGGCTGTGTCCTGGCAGACCAGACATCTCCCCAGTTTGGCAAAGCAAAGTATCTTTGTAGCTAAGGGAGGTGAACAGGTCAAAAAAGGAGACACCCGTGTTGATGCAGGGGACTCACTCTGAAGGACCTGTTGTCTAGACAACAAACATCTATCTAGGACTTTCATACAACAGTGCTAGAAACATGGAGAATTAAGTACCTCCTGGCTAAATACACTTGGCTAGCGTGATCTCCAAACTGTTGACCAGTCCAAAGTCACCAGGCATGTATATCACACAGTGCATGCAGAGGAGGTGTCTGCACACGCTGATATGACGAAGAGTCAAAAGAATGTATGAGGGGGCGCTGGGGAGGTGGGCAGAGTGCACAAGCCTGATGACTGAGCCTGGATCCCCAGCAGCCATGGGAAGGAAGGGCAGGGGTTGTGCATGTCAGTGACTCTAGTGCTGGGCTGTATGGGGGAGACAGGCAGATCCTCAGAGCTTACCAGCTGGCCAGCCCACACAACTGGTGAACTCGGGATTCAGGGAGAGATCCTGTCCTTAAAGATAAGGTGGAGCTGGACACAGTGTCACAAGCCTTGAATCTCCAGCACTGGAGAGGCAGAAGCAGGAGGATCTCTGTACGTTCTTGGTCAGCCTGATCTACAGAGTGAGTTCCAGATCAGCCAGAGCTACATAGCAAGACTCTATCTCTAAAATAAAATAAATCAAGGCCTTGAGGATGGGGTCGTATATGTGTGTGTGTGTGGATACGCGAGTGCGTGCGTGCGTGTACGCGCGTGTTTGTGCGCGGATACCAGGTGGCCTGCTAGTCTACCACTCTCCGTCTTGTTCCCTTTAGACAGGGTCTCTCACTGAACCCGGAGCTAGGCTGGCAGTCATCACACCCCAACGATCCTTTTGCCGCTGACCCCTCAGTGCTGGCATTACAGGCGTATGAGCACGTGGATGCTGGGGATTCGAACTCAGGTCCTCATGCATGTGTGGCAAGTGCCACTTCCCCAGCCCCTGGGATGGGTCTTAATCCAAGATCCTCTATCCTTATCAGAGAATCCAGACATAAACAGAGACACTGGCACACACAGATCACATGCACGCCCACTGAGACGCTCCGGAAGAAATGCACTCTGCCAAGCAATCCCCTTGGATTTGGACTTTCGACCTCAGAGAAAATAAATTGCTGTTGTTTAAGCCCCCAGCCCATGGCATTTTGCTGCAGTGGCCCTGGCAAGCCCACACAGCGGGCTTCCAGGGATGGTAAACCAACCTCGTGAAAACTGGACGCTGTAACACAGGCTGATGTCATCCCGGCTGGTCCCCCAGCAGGCCTGGCTGAGGCTCAAAGCCAATCACCTTACAGGCGGTTCTTCTGTTGCTGCTCTGCCTGCGGCTCCCTGCAGTACACTAAATAAACCTGCCTGCTTTCTCCACAAGACAGAGCAAAAGCCAATCACCCCACTGAGTCTCAGCTCAGTGCAACTGAACGGATACTGTTTCAACTGCCAGTGTTCTGAGGTAATTTTCCAGTTTAGCTTCTTCCAGAGGTGGGGAAGTCTCCAACCAGCATCCCCAAGGACCCAGGCAGACAGTACTGCAGAGGAAAACCACCAGACAGGATAAGGGTGTGAATGCGTGCGTGGTGTGTGTCTGTGTGTGTGTCTGTGTGTGTGTCTGTGTGTGTGTGTGTCTGTGTGTGTGAGCGTGCCCATCTGCTGCATGTGTGTGTATGTACCCATCTGCTGCATGTGTGTATGTACCCTTATGCTGCGTGTGTGTGTGTGTGTGTGTGTGTGTGTGTGTGTGTGTGTGTGTGTG